TCAAAACCTATTGCTGGATTTGATGTAATGATGCACATGTCTGAAGATACTTATGTTGTTTTCTACCGAAAGTTGACTATTTCCAAACAAAAGTAGTTCTAAATTAAAATCAACATGCAAGGCATTCAAATTTAGGAGCAGGGTATGTCTTTCGTTGTTAAAAAGTAAGCACTCACAAAAAAAGTGAAAGGCATTTTCACAATAACAAACTGGACTATCGACCAGATTTACTCTAAAAAGATCATAGTTAAGTGGACTACACTGATGTCTAACTTTAGTTTGCAAAATGTTCAATTTACGTTCTCCGAAACCTAAATTGGTGGAGGAGATTGTACATTTGAAGTTAATGAGTTTTTAAAAGAATGTAATGAGGGCAATGATCGTACTAAAAGGTCCAATGAATTCCAACCGCGAAGAGTTGATGGTATAAAAGATGAATTTGTTAGAGAAAGCCTGAAAGGACGAATTCTATAATCATCATTGTTTCTAAGGGTATAACGGTTATTTTCTGCAACGGAAGATGGCAATAGAGAATTTAAATAGTCTGGAGTTAATTTGTTGTGCATTTTATACAAAAGTTGGAGTTTTCTGCGTTTTCATCTATTCGAAAGAGTTTCTAGACCAGTTTCAAAAAGTAAGTCTTCAATTCGTGCATATGAAGGAAGACCAGTTATAATACGAGACGCTTCTCTTTGGGCTTTCTCTAACATTTCTGTTTCATAATTTGTACAACCATCCCACAATTCAAAGGCATATTCTAAAACTGGTAAAATAAATGATTTATAATCTTTAAAAGATTATCACGATTTAATAAGTATTTTCTGGGTCACCGAGATACGTGTAATCGAAGTCCGTGGATTAACATAATTTATAATATTACCGGGTTCAATAAAATGGTATGATTTAATTATATTGCTGAATTAAACGATTAATTTTGTTTTTACATGCAAGATTTAAATTAGTACTAATATGAATACCCGGCCTCCTCTGCCCCGGCAACATATAAAAAAAAAATCAGAAAGGTTTGTCCCTTGGTGTAGGGAAGGTGTTTAGCCCCGCACCATCTGTACCGGCCACATTCCGGTACTAAATTCAATATGTATTTAAATATATCTACTTTATGTTTATGACTATTATCATTGTTGACATTTAATTGTAAATGCATGACGGGAGAAGGCTGTGATAAATTGTAAAAACTTGTGCCCCATCCCTTGTTTAATTTTATTGGCAACACATTATGTTTGAAGCTAAATAAATTTAAATCCTGAATATTGGCAAGTGTGCAATTAACTTCTAATGATGAATAATTACTGTTCAATAAGTTTGAATACGGACTTAGAAATCGTATAACTTGGCTAGTGCGGTAAGAAGTTGCAGTTGCCTGACGGCCCCTCTCTGGGGGCCCCTTTGGAAACCGTTTCATCTCGCTCGCACCACTTGTGTTTACTGCCTAGCCAGGTGACGTTATCGGCGCTATTTTTAGCAGGGCTTTCCCGAACAATTCAAGTGGTCAAACTGGACATTTGGAACGGACTATGAATATGGGGATAGCGTGGTAACATAAGTGGAAGTGCATACAATACATACATTCATTAAAAAGAAGAAAAAAAACCCCGCCTTTTCACGTGATGTCCCTTTAAGGAAAGTAAACTTGATAGTGTCTCTTTCAATGTCACGGGTTGACCTCTTGTCATGTCTCCCTACATGGGGCGACTGTCATTGCGGGGGTCTGGCACGTGCCAAGCATTACGGAACTGATGCTGACCACTAGGGGGCGTGGCTGTCTGCCGTCCTTAGGCCGATGAGTGCCATCAAGGTCCTCTGCGAGAATCAGGAGAACGATCTCGCCGATGGGAGGATAACTAGGATGCTGATGCTGAGGTGGGATGTAAAGGTTACCATCAATGTAGAGTTTATCACCTTGCAGGCGAGCGTGCCTTCCATGCCTCCTGGCTTCCTTAGACACCGGATAGAGTAAACGTCGCCAGTCATTTATTTACACATTTACACATATGTGTCGCAGAACTGTTCATCTAAACGAATCCAACGATTGGTTTGGAGGAGTTGCACTGACAGCCTGAGTCCTTTATAAACCCCCTTCAAACGTTGTTTGCGGTGGATACAAATATAAGGAAATTTCCTTCACTGAAATGACAAATCCTTTGCTAGCCTCATTATTTTATCAAAATATTTTTTCAGAAACAAAAAGCAAAATGACAGGAAAATGAATCAGATGTTTAAAGGACGGAAAGTTGTTTATCATCACATTTATTCATTCAGAAATGGAAACATAAAGCATATTTTATTTTATATAGATATCATGTTGTTACCATCTTGTTTCTGAGGTATGCGTTAACATTCAGTAAAATATGTATATTGGTTATTTACATGTTAGTGCATAGTACATATTATTTGTGGATCTGGCGGTTAATTTTGGGTCAAGACTCCGAACCTTGCTTTTGCGGGGAGGAAAAAAATACAGCTTGCGCGGTGTATTGCCCCTCCTCCCACTATCCTCCTTCTCCACTCTACTCTATCAGAACTCTCCGCCTTTCGCATTTTTAACTTACTAATTATATACATGAAATGTGAAATTCCTACCTTATCGACGGTCTGCACAAATTTGTCCAAAAACTTGAACAGCGTATTGTCGCGAGCTGATTGGCTGATAATTGTCTCGTGGTGGATGTCATTTAAAGTATCATCAACGACACCGCTTTCAAGTAGGTTATCTAGTGACAATGCCATGCAAATGTAAATATATGTTTATGATATATAGTGACAATGCCATGCAAATGTAAACATATGTTTATGATATCTAGTGACAATGCCATGCAAATGTAAATATATGTTTATGATCGATAAAAAAATCTTGCAATCTTGTTAATGATAAAGGTTCATATCATGAATGAGAAATAACATTTTTTTTTTCACTTTTCCTTAATGGATGAGCATTCCATTTTTTTCAAACTGAAAACCCCCCCAATAAATATGAAAAAACTATCATGTACATATTGGTAGAATAAAACTCATACAGAAATTCTGATACATATAGACTAAAATAGAATTATTTGTATATAAATTATAAAATATATGATAAAATACTGTTAATCAATAAATGAGTTTTAATTGATAAATCTATAAGACAAGGATTATAAATTTTAAACCACCGTTGCATGTATATTGATGTATATGATAATCTAACAAGTTATCACTCTTTATTTAAAATAAAATAAAATAAAAAGATAACTTTCATATAAGCATGGATTTAGATTAGGATTTAAGTCCATGTTTGAAAGATATTGTTAAGTGTAGGAGTATGCACCATGTTACTTTTTTAACAATTATTTAAAGCAGGGGCAGGGAGACATTCACAGTATGTACTAACCTTTGAATACCTGACAATTATTATGATGGAGATAATTTTGCACTGTAGTTTACCCAAGTGCACAAGCGTGTGAACTTTGATGCACGCGCTTGTAAATTCCAGTACACTGAAGTTATTTTTCTAGTGCACTAGGCTACCAGGTTACGTTTGATCAAAGCTCCTTAATTTCAATGAACCTACTGACTATTCAATATTAACATGATTACTCGATTCTTACTTACAATATGACTTACAGTGGAAATTCACGACCATAAGCGTGATAATGATTTCGATTTTTGTAACAATTTGGTTCCCTTTCTTGATAGTAACACCCCTGTGTATCTGAAAGGACATACTGCTTCCTCATCGCCTTTTTACTATGTGTTATTGTGCACTTAACAAGCACTTTATGTATTCTTTTGCAATCTTACGTTGCACCAGCAAAATCAAATATAATAATTTTAATAATTCCCTTTGCAACGAAACTAAGAACTCGGAGCAAGAAACCAACTACATACTCCCACTTGTTCTCCCTTCTGATCACACTTTATGTTTATGATCATAGTGTTGGCTTATTGCATGATGAAGTAAAACAAACACAATAAAAACAACGCATCATACAACCATTTCGTCCTTTTACGTTTCATCGTCAATGTTAGGGGGCAATCAGGTGGAAATCAAAATTAGTCTAAACCACTATTGCATAAGGTAGGAAGGTTCGTAACCACTCCATTATATATATAACTTTTCAAATAGGACAGGAGAACTGTTTAATATCAAATTATTGATGAGATATGTGTGTGAATTGTGAACCGTGTCACTACCCAAAAGAGGTAAATATATATATAACTATTCAAGTATTACAGGAGAACTGTTTAATATCAAACTATTGATGAGATATGCGTGTGAATTGTGAACCGTGTCACTACCCAAAAGAGGTAATTACATAACTATTCAAATATGAAAGGTGAACTGCTTAATATCAAACTATTGATGAGATATGCGTGTGAATTGTGAACCGTGTCACTACCCAAAAGAGGTAAATATATAACTATTCAAATATGACAGGTGAACTGCTTAATATCAAACTATTGATGAGATATGTGTGTGAATTGTGAACCGTGTCACTACCCAAAAGAGGTAATTATATATATAACTATTCAAGTATTACAGGAGAACTGTTTAATATCAAATTATTGATTAGATATGTGTGTGAATTGTGAACCGTGTCACTACCCAAAAGAGGTAATTATAGAACTATTCAAATATGACAGGTGAACTGTTTAATATCAAATTACTGATGAGCTATGTGTGTGAATTGTGAACCGTGTCACTACCCAAAAGAGGTAACTGTGGCAATCAAAGTTACGGCTAAACGAATGACCTTTATTGTTTCTATCATGGTCATGATACAGCCGAGCTACAGGTACATAGTGTTCACAGACGTCACTATCTGTCTATCACGGCCAAGCTACAGGTACATAGTGTTCACAGACGTCACTATCTGTCTATCACGGCCAAGCTACAGGTACATAGTGTTCACAGACGTCACTATCTGTCTATCACGGCCAAGCTACAGGTACATAGTGTTCACAGACGTCACTATCTGTCTATCACGGCCAAGCTACAGGTACATAGTGTTCACAGACGTCACTATCTGTCTATCACGGCCAAGCTACAGGTACATAGTGTTCACAGACGTCACTATCTGTCTATCACGGCCAAGCTACAGGTACATAGTGTTCACAGACGTCACTATCTGTCTATCACGGCCAAGCTACAGGTACATAGTGTTCACAGACGTCACTATCTGTCTATCACGGCCAAGCTACAGGTACATAGTGTTCACAGACGTCACTATCTGTCTATCACGGCCAAGCTACAGGTACATAGTGTTCACAGACGTCACTATCTGTCTATCACGGCCAAGCTACAGGTACATAGTGTTCACAGACGTCACTATCTGTCTATCACGGCCAAGCTACAGGTACATAGTGTTCACAGACGTCACTATCTGTCTATCACGGCCAAGCTACAGGTACATAGTGTTCACAGACGTCACTATCTGTCTATCACGGCCAAGCTACAGGTACATAGTGTTCACAGACGTCACTATCTGTCTATCACGGCCAAGCTACAGGTACATAGTGTTCACAGACGTCACTATCTGTCTATCACGGCCAAGCTACAGGTACATAGTGTTCACAGACGTCACTATCTGTCTATCACGGCCAAGCTACAGGTACATAGTGTTCACAGACGTCACTATCTGTCTATCACGGCCAAGCTACAGGTACATAGTGTTCACAGACGTCACTATCTGTCTATCACGGCCAAGCTACAGGTACATAGTGTTCACAGACGTCACTATCTGTCTATCACGGCCAAGCTACAGGTACATAGTGTTCACAGACGTCACTATCTGTCTATCACGGCCAAGCTACAGGTACATAGTGTTCACAGACGTCACTATCTGTCTATCACGGCCAAGCTACAGGTACATAGTGTTCACAGACGTCACTATCTGTCTATCACGGCCAAGCTACAGGTACATAGTGTTCACAGACGTCACTATCTGTCTATCACGGCCAAGCTACAGGTACATAGTGTTCACAGACGTCACTATCTGTCTATCACGGCCAAGCTACAGGTACATAGTGTTCACAGACGTCACTATCTGTCTATCACGGCCAAGCTACAGGTACATAGTGTTCACAGACGTCACTATCTGTCTATCACGGCCAAGCTACAGGTACATAGTGTTCACAGACGTCACTATCTGTCTATCACGGCCAAGCTACAGGTACATAGTGTTCACAGACGTCACTATCTGTCTATCACGGCCAAGCTACAGGTACATAGTGTTCACAGACGTCACTATCTGTCTATCACGGCCAAGCTACAGGTACATAGTGTTCACAGACGTCACTATCTGTCTATCACGGCCAAGCTACAGGTACATAGTGTTCACAGACGTCACTATCTGTCTATCACGGCCAAGCTACAGGTACATAGTGTTCACAGACGTCACTATCTGTCTATCACGGCCAAGCTACAGGTACATAGTGTTCACAGACGTCACTATCTGTCTATCACGGCCAAGCTACAGGTACATAGTGTTCACAGACGTCACTATCTGTCTATCACGGCCAAGCTACAGGTACATAGTGTTCACAGACGTCACTATCTGTCTATCACGGCCAAGCTACAGGTACATAGTGTTCACAGACGTCACTATCTGTCTATCACGGCCAAGCTACAGGTACATAGTGTTCACAGACGTCACTATCTGTCTATCACGGCCAAGCTACAGGTACATAGTGTTCACAGACGTCACTATCTGTCTATCACGGCCAAGCTACAGGTACATAGTGTTCACAGACGTCACTATCTGTCTATCACGGCCAAGCTACAGGTACATAGTGTTCACAGACGTCACTATCTGTCTATCACGGCCAAGCTACAGGTACATAGTGTTCACAGACGTCACTATCTGTCTATCACGGCCAAGCTACAGGTACATAGTGTTCACAGACGTCACTATCTGTCTATCACGGCCAACGCGGAGTACTCTAATTGACAGGTTGCAAGTATAAACTCACAAGGAAAACACACACTTGTGTGACAAATGGAGGGGGAATTGAACTGCTCCGGATACCAAGCTTGATGTAGAGTTCTGTCCAAGTTTACCGGTATATATTTTACTTTTGTGTTGGTGGAAAATCCGAACCAAACATATCGTTGGATTGCAGAGTGATTAGGAACATAATAGGCTGTAAAAGGAATTTGTCCATTTTCATCTGGAAAGGTTAAGCAGTGGGCATCTTACCTGGTCATCCCTAGGATATATCGCTGTGAGTAAAACTTCTTATCTATTGTACACTTGTATAGTATGGGCTGTGTATATATGGACATTTGATATGAGTATACATTACGTTTTAATTTGAAAGCAGAACCTCTTTGGAAACAGGTCCAATGAGCCGAAAGCCGAATCATTATGGCTCGTGATTTCATGGTGACAGTCGTCAATGTAACTCAACGGATTTGTCCGGTAGGGGTGATACTTACTGAGAGTACCACATTTATAGGGATATTAATATAAAATAACAACAATCAGTTATGAAAAGTTCTTTTTACACAACCTATTCAATTTTCTATGTGATGTTTGGATGACTAGTACGATATGTACACTGTCACCCTCATCAGACAAATGACCAGTGAAGCGTATACGCACAAAGGTGTAAAGTGTGTACGAGTTGTTCACAAAATCGATGTTGATTTCGGCTACGCTGAAAGCGTATGTACAATAGTAGTTAAATATGTATCGAATTGACTCGTTTCAGCCACGCTTTGTTTGATACTTGGTCAAAGATGTGCGAGGGTCTTTGAACCCCCTCGTCTCGATTTAGAACTTGCCCACTGCGGCGTATTCAGGTGGCTTCCTTTATCTGCCGCTTGAACAGATTGCTCTCTCTGTCCTAAACTTTGGAGTTATCCCAGTCAATCACATGATTTGTCTGTGTGGCATGGTCTGTGATTGCCGATTTATTAATCTGGGATTCCGACTGCTTCCTTTCTGATCTGGTGAATGTTTTACCTTCTTGGGTTTCTGTATATTTCCGGTGTTAACCAAGGCGGACCACAAATCGCCTTCCAGTCTCTCTTATATACGACAAGTCGCAGTTTTTGCATCCGATTTTGTACACGCATTCTGCGACGTTTTCTTTTTGTGTTTTATCCTTAGGGTGTACTAGGATATTGCGAAGCGTCTTGTTGGGCTTCATGGCTGTTGCTATGCCATGGCCGCGATATATCCTGTGGATGGTTTCGGATATACCCTTTATATACGGGATGACCACTTGACCTTTGGTTTTGTTCTTGTTCTTGATTGGCCTTTTCTTGTTCTTCTCCTTGATGTGACACTGTTTTGTACCCGTTTTAGGGCCCATTCCGGATATGCACATGTTCTCATTGCCCTAGCGATATGATTCTGCTCTTGTATTTTGTCCTGTTGTTCTGTGACTATTATATCACATCTGTTGAGCAATGTGCAACTTCTGCTGCAAAGGATGGTAAGATTTGAAGTTCATGTATATGTCCATATGGGTCTTTTTTCTATAGACCAATTCTTTCACGGTTCCGTCTTCTTTCTTTACCAGTAGAGTGTCTAGCAAGGGCATTGTGCCGTTGGTTTTTTCCTCACATGTAGATTTGATGTTGTTAGTGGCATCTATGGTGTTTATATGTGTAGTCTAATCCTTCCGTGACCCCTTCATGATTATCTCAAGTATGTCGTCAGCATAACGTTTCCATAAGCTAAGCTTGCATTCTATGGGAGCAGTGGCTATTGCTTCTTGCTCCAGATGTTCCAGGAACAAATTGGCCACAATGGGAGACACTGGACTATCCATAGCAGTGCCGAATTGTTGTTGACAGATGTTGTTTCGGAAACTAAAATATGGTTGTTGTCAGCACAAATTCCAGCAAATCCATGATGTCCTGAATCTGGAGGTTTGTATTTTTGAGCCAGGATCTGTCTAATTCTAAGCGTTTCCGAATGATTCTAAGTGCGTCGTCAATGGATGTGTTGCAATTGGTAAAGAGAGAGACAACATCATGTGAAATGAATTCTCCGTCTTCCTGAATAATGATGGTAGACATAGCTTCCGCTTGATGTTTCGAATTATTTACATGGTGTTCCGGTTTACCCACTAGCGGCCCAGGAATGTCTGCCAATGCTCTGGAAACATTGTAACCAATGGATCCAGTGTAGTCCACAATAGGCCTCAGTGGGTTTTCCTGCGTGTGTATCTTGGGTGTACAGTACATTCTAGGAGTGTTCTCTGCTGTGGGATACATATATCTGTATTGGCCTTCGGTAATCTTGCTTGTTTTAATTTTGACAGGAGGGCTACGAGACACCTTATAAGCTTTTGAGTTGGATTGGTCTGCAGCTGTTCATGTCTTGTTGTCCTGTAGGATTGTTGTGACCTTGGCCTCATAATCTTTGGTGTCCATGACAACTGGTGCCTTCCCCTTGTCAGCTGGTAGTATGGTAATGGATTTGTCTCTGCCTAATGTTTAGAGTGCGACCTGTTCTTCTTTCGTCATATTACTCGTATTTCAAACCCCCCGTCACCTCAGTTGATCAGCCTCAGCATAGCTTATATTCTTACATGCCTGTTCTGTGGCTATAACAAAATCATCAACTGGGATTTTACCTTGAACGATGTCATAGTTATACCCTTAGCGAGTAACGTTGTCTCGCTACTTGTGAGCTCCTTATAAGAGATGTTGACTACCCACTTTTTTAGCATCATTCAGAGCTGCATCTGTGTTTGTGTCGTATAGTGTTGAGTTTTCTACAAGACGGTTTAATTTAGTCAAGTGGCGTTGTTTGGTCGTGTCGAGCGCTCGTTCACCTATCCGCTTCATGTGTTTGTTCATATCCCCTACAGTGCCACTCGATAAGCACTGGGTCAGTTTATCGGTGAGTACTGTTATGGCATGCTTGTACGAGTCTTTTTTGTTGTTTACAACCCGTATTCTCTCTTTCAATATATCTTTCTGTGCTTTCTTGATGATATTTCTAGCATTTATTGCGTTAACTAGACCCTTAATATTCAGACGTCATATACCGCAATATCTGGCGCGGTATTTGTATTTCTAACTTCTGATTGGTTGCAATTGCTTGGCGATGAAATGACTACGCAATGCTGTTGTTTCAAGTGAACATAGTTTTGCTTCGGTATATAACGTATAACCCCAAAACTAACCATGTTTATTCCTAAAGTATCACTTACGAATAGAGCTCGGAAGTTGTTGATTCCGCGCGTATACCAATTGTTGTGTTGATGTTAAGGCATACCATTTTTATATGATATAAAATTTTCAATCCATGCACGCATGTACCTAAAATCATAATTGCTTGAAATGCGTTTTCGTAAAATGATCGCGGTAATATAATTCCTGCTTGGTAAGGTTTCTATTCGCTTTTCGTATAAAACACTGCAGCTTGTATGCATTCGTTCACTACTGATTAGAGCCTACTTGAGATTGATTGTCTCGGTACATTCGTGGCCATAGTAACTCTTGGCCCATTTCTCCAAGTCTAATGAGCTTAATACGGAGTGAACAGAAAATTCTGGAATGAGATGTTACAGCAGTATCTGGGAGACTTACGGTTTTGTGTTTTTTGTTATCGGACGAACAAAGGGAAACAATTTATGCGAGTGTTTGGTAAAATTTGTCTTAAAGCTAACTATGTGCTTTGAGTTACTGCACCCTGGTTAAGGGACACATGTTACGCCTCTTTCGTGCATATAACAAAGACTGGTTTACATAACACGTAACCATAGAAACGATAACGAACCTGTTATATACAACTTACCGCCAGGCTAAGGTCAATAGGGGGAATATACCGTGACCGTCAGTAGGGCTAATCTATTTGTATTTGTTGGGCATTTTTTGTCAATTATTGCAATTTACCACCGTTTATGTCCTGCAGAAGTCTGAAGCAGTATTCTTGTATGCATCTGTTGTGTATTCAGAATAACACCTTGACGATCATAGTCTTAGCACTTATTTTACCTGTATGCTTATATAACGTTGCTGGTCAGTTTTTAATACACGAGCCTGACCGGGTAATACTTAATGGGTTACATAATATATTATGTTTGATGAATCAGTATAAAGCACTACACAACGCTTAGCTCACTCAGTATCTGGTGATGTTTATATAGAAGAGTGTATAATCTAATGGCTGAGTGTTATTTGAGCGTTCTCGGTCACCTGTGACGGTTTGTTACTAGTGATCTATCGCTGTATTCACCCGTGTGACACACGAGTGCCAAGCTATGTATCTATTATTCAAGTTCAAGTTCAAGGGTAATTTTGTAATAGTGTAACAGGGTGGAAAAAAACAAACCAAAACTTTATACTCTTGCACACTAAGTCAAGGGAAACAACTCTCTCACATTACGGATAACGAGTTAACACTTGTACATTTCTTACCAGATAAGAAATATAGGAAATCTTTATAATTTACAACCACATTTATATATATTTTAACATTACTTATATAGCACTGTTAAACACTTTGATCATATTAATACCATAAATTACAAGGATTGCATTAAAGTTACTTTCCTTATTCATAAATATAAAATACACAGATCTACATATATATAGACTCTACTCTATAATTCATAAACTCGCCCTACATATGGTGTAAAGGTATATATACAGGGTTCTCTTTGTTATGTAAGTCGTATATCAATCTATTGTATCTCAATCCGATTTCAATCTGTTTCACATCTCAATTTCACTCATGATTCTAAATAAATAAAATACAAAACCTATTGAACACATTTGTCAATGATAAAAATTGAAAATGCTATTTGGCAACTTTGTAGACGTACAGATTCTACACTCAACAAATACTTATCCTTGAGAACAAAAGCATTACATTATATACATTTACTTCATAGCAATTTATTGTTAACTATTTATAATCCAAACAAAAAATTACTTACAATTACTACAACGATAATGATATACTAATAAAATAAACTTACCACCAAATCCCCAATTTCTACTCCTGATATGACCCTTCCTTGCTCTCCAATATCCTAATATCTTCTGCCTAACAAAGAACTAAGCATCTACATCAAAGCATGTTGAACTTTCCCTATCCAGATGTTTACGTCTGGATTCCGTATTCTGTACACGTGTGCGTAGTTTACGTCTAGATTCCGTACTCTGTACACGTGTGAGTAGTTTACGTCTGGATTCCGTATTCTGTACACGTGTGCGTAGTTTACGTCTAGATTCCGTATTCTGTACACGTGTGCGTAGTTTACGTCTGGATTCCGTATTCTGTACACGTGTGCGTAGTTTACGTCTGGATTCCGTATTCTGTACACGTGTGCGTAGTTTACGTCTGGATTCCGTATTCTGTACACGTGTGCGTAGTTTACGTCTGGATTCCGTATTCTGTACACGTGTGCGTAGTTTACGTCTGGATTCCGTATTCTGTACACGTGTGCGTAGTTTACGTCTGGATTCCGTATTCTGTACACGTGTGCGTAGTTTACGTCTGGATTCCGTATTCTGTACACGTGTGCGTAGTTTACGTCTGGATTCCGTATTCTGTACACGTGTGCGTAGTTTACGTCTGGATTCCGTATTCTGTACACGTGTGCGTAGTTTACGTCTGGATTCCGTATTCTGTACACGTGTGCGTAGTTTACGTCTGGATTCCGTATTCTGTACACGTGTGCGTAGTTTACGTCTGGATTCCGTATTCTGTACACGTGTGCGAAGTTTACGTCTGGATTCCGTATTCTGTACACGTGTGCGTAGTTTACGTCTGGATTCCGTATTCTGTACACGTGTGCGTAGTTTACGTCTGGATTCCGTATTCTGTACACGTGTGCGTAGTTTACGTCTGGATTCCGTATTCTGTACACGTGTGCGTAGTTTACGTCTGGATTCCGTATTCTGTACACGTGTGCGTAGTTTACGTCTGGATTCCGTATTCTGTACACGTGTGCGTAGTTTACGTCTGGATTCCGTATTCTGTACACGTGTGCGTAGTTTACGTCTGGATTCCGTATTCTGTACACGTGTGCGTAGTTTACGTCTGGATTCCGTATTCTGTACACGTGTGCGTAGTTTACGTCTGGATTCCGTATTCTGTACACGTGTGCGTAGTTTACGTCTGGATTCCGTATTCTGTACACGTGTGCGTAGTTTACGTCTGGATTCCGTATTCTGTACACGTGTGCGTAGTTTACGTCTGGATTCCGTATTCTGTACACGTGTGCGTAGTTTACGTCTGGATTCCGTATTCTGTACACGTGTGCGTAGTTTACGTCTGGATTCCGTATTCTGTACACGTGTGCGTAGTTTACGTCTGGATTCCGTATTCTGTACACGTGTGCGTAGTTTACGTCTGGATTCCGTATTCTGTACACGTGTGCGTAGTTTACGTCTGGATTCCGTATTCTGTACACGTGTGCGTAGTTTACGTCTGGATTCCGTATTCTGTACACGTGTGCGTAGTTTACGTCTGGATTCCGTATTCTGTACGCGTGTTCGTAGTTTACGTCTGGATTCCGTATTCTGTACACGTGTCCGTAGTTTACTTCTGGATTCCGTATTCTGTACACGTGTGCGTAGTTTACGTATTGATTCCGTATTCGTGCTTTGACGCTCTGTATTTTTTTTAACATAACGTGACTTAATGAGCATAGGTTTCAATATATGTCTAATGATCATGGAAGACGAAAGAATAAATTAAAAAAAAAAATCGAGGTTCCTATGTATTTCTTTATCACAACCTGGGTTGTAGGTCGTCTCAAAGTGGTTCACAAATTAATTTAAAAAAAAGCAATGTTTTTCTCTGATATCATGATTTTTTCTATGCTTTTTCTGTTTAGGACTTTTTAGAAATCATATCACCACAGATGGATGTTTGGACCGCCTCGTTCGCCGCTATAGCAGCATTATTGTACTTATGGTAGGTTATCCATACACAAACTGACCTATTTCCTATTGCATTGGATGTTCCTTTGCAGCACACAAGAAAACTGTATGATGAGCGTGCTAAAAACAAACCACTGTAGCGCAACAAAACCATAATACCAACTCAAAATCAATAAACTAGGGCAAAATATGATCAAAGGAAAGATTAACATAGAGACGAAGGTCAAGGAGAAACAGATCAGGGCCCATATTTATGAAACCATTATCATGCTCAAGCAAGGATTATATTTGATTACAGTAAAGACGTAGGCGTTATATATGATTACAGTAAGGACGTAGGCGTTATATATGATTACAGTAAAGACGTAGGCGTTATATATGATTACAGTAAGGACGTAGGCGTTATATATGATTACAGTAAAGACGTAGGCGTTATATATGATTACAGTAAGGACGTAGGCGTTATATATGATTACAGTAAGGACGTAGGCGTTATATATGATTACAGTAAGGACGTAGGCGTTATATATGATTACAGTAAGGATGTAGACGTTATATATGATTACAGTAAGGACGTAGACGTTATATATGATTACAGTAAGGACGTAGGCGTTATATATGATTACAGTAAGGATGTAGGCGTTATATATGATTACAGTAAGGATGTAGACGTTATATATGATTACAGTAAGGACGTAGACGTTATATATGATTACAGTAAGGACGTAGGCGTTATATATGATTACAGTAAGGACGTAGGCGTTATATATGATTACAGTAAGGATGTAGACGTTATATATGATTACAGTAAGGACGTAGACGTTATATATGATTACAGTAAGGACGTAGGCGTTATATATGATTACAGTAAGGACGTAGGCGTTATATATGATTACAGTAAGGATGTAGACGTTATATATGATTACAGTAAGGACGTAGACGTTATATATGATTACAGTAAGGACGTAGGCGTTATATATGATTACAGTAAGGATGTAGGCGTTATATATGATTACAGTAAGGATGTAGACGTTATATATGATTACAGTAAGGACGTAGACGTTATATATGATTACAGTAAGGACGTAGGCGTTATATATGATTACAGTAAGGACGTAGGCGTTATATATGATTACAGTAAGGATGTAGACGTTATATATGATTACAGTAAGGACGTAGGCGTTATATATGATTACAGTAAGGATGTAGGCGTTATATTTGATAACAGTAAGGACGTAGGCGTTATATATGATTACAGTAAGGACGTAGGCGTTATATATGATTACAGTAAGGATGTAGGCGTTATATATGATTACAGTAAGGATGTAGGCGTTATATATGATTACAGTAAGGACGTAGACGTTATATATGATTACAGTAAGGACGTAGGCGTTATATATGATTACAGTAAGGATGTAGGCGTTATATATGATTACAGTAAGGATGTAGACGTTATATATGATTACAGTAAGGACGTAGGCGTTATATATGATTACAGTAAGGACGTAGGCGTTATATATGATTACAGTAAGGATGTAGACGTTATATATGATTACAGTAAGGACGTAGGCGTTATATATGATTACAGTAAGGATGTAGGCGTTATATATGATTACAGTAAGGACGTAGACGTTATATATGATTACAGTAAGGACGTAGGCGTTATATATGATTACAGTAAGGACGTAGGCGTTATATATGATTACAGTAAGGATGTAGACGTTATATATGATTACAGTAAGGACGTAGGCGTTATATATGATTACAGTAAGGATGTAGGCGTTATATATGATTACAGTAAGGACGTAGGCGTTATATATGATTACAGTAAGGACGTAGGCGTTATATATGATTACAGTAAGGATGTAGACGTTATATATGATTACAGTAAGGACGTAGGCGTTATATATGATTACAGTAAGGATGTAGGCGTTATATATGATTACAGTAAGGACGTAGGCGTTATATATGATTACAGTAAGGACGTAGGCGTTATATATGATTACAGTAAGGATGTAGACGTTATATATGATTACAGTAAGGACGTAGGCGTTATATATGATTACAGTAAGGATGTAGGCGTTATATATGATTACAGTAAGGACGTAGGCGTTATATATGATTACAGTAAGGACGTAGGCGTTATATATGATTACAGTAAGGATGTAGGCGTTATATATGACTACAGTAAGGATGTAGACGTTATATATGATTACAGTAAGGACGTAGGCGTTATATATGATTACAGTAAGGATGTAGGCGTTATATATGATTACAGTAAGGACGTAGGCGTTATATATGATTACAGTAAGGACGTAGACGTTATATATGATTACAGTAAAGACGTAGGCGTTATATATGATTACAGTAAGGATGTAGGCGTTATATTTGATAACAGTAAGGACGTAGGCGTTATATATGATTACAGTAAGGACGTAGGCGTTATATATGATTACAGTAAGGATGTAGGCGTTATATATGATTACAGTAAGGACGTAGGCGTTATATATGATTACAGTAAGGACGTAGGCGTTATATATGATTACAGTAAGGACGTAGGCGTTATATATGATTACAGTAAGGATGTAGGCGTTATATATGATTACAGTAAGGACGTAGGCGTTATATATGATTACAGTAAGGACGTAGGCGTTATATATGATTACAGTAAGGATGTAGACGTTATATATGATTACAGTAAGGACGTAGACGTTATATATGATTACAGTAAGGATGTAGGCGTTATATATGATTACAGTAAGGATGTAGACGTTATATATGATTACAGTAAGGACGTAGGCGTTATATATGCTTACAGTAAAGACGTAGGCGTTATATATGATTACAGTAAGGATGTAGACGTTATATATGATTACAGTAAAGACGTAGGCGTTATATATGATTACAGTAAGGATGTAGGCGTTATATATGCTGACAGTAAGGACGTAGAAGTTATATATGATTACAGTAAGGATGTATGCGTTATATATGATTACAGTAAGGATGTAGACGTTATATATGATTACAGTAAGGACGTAGATGTTATATATGATTACAGTAAGGATATAGACGTTATATATGCTTACAGTAAGGACGTAGGCGTTATATATGATTACAGTAAGGATGTAGACGTTATATATGATTACAGTAAGGACGTAGGCGTTATATATGATTACAGTAAGGATGTAGACGTTATATATGATTACAGTAAGGACGTAGGCGTTATATATGATTACAGTAAGGATGTAGACGTTATATATGATTACAGTAAGGACGTAGGCGTTATATATGATTACAGTAAGGATGTAGACGTTATATATGATTACAGTAAGGACGTAGGCGTTATATATGATTACAGTAAGGACGTAGGCGTTATATATGATTACAGTAAGGACGTAGACGTTATATATGATTACAGTAAGGATGTAGACGTTATATATGCTTACAGTAAAGACGTAGGCGTTATATATGATTACAGTAAGGATGTAGACGTTAGATATGATGACAGTAAGGACGTAGGCGTTATATATGATTTCAGTGATAGAATGGTTCTCTTTCCTTTGTTTGTAAAGGTATCATAAACGTAATATTCGAAGTCTGGAGGAAAGCGGTATACCAATGATACCGTCCCTACCCATCATCGGCAGTATCCACAAGCTCATCGGGAAGGTAGGTCGGTCCCAATGTGACGTCACCAGGGATTAATAGTATTCAGTTGTAAATTGTTACAATTGAGATGGTATAATTCGAGTAAGCATTATTTATTTCCCAACTCCACGTTGCACTAAACGAAAAAAGGGGGATGGGACTGGATAACTTGTCTTTCCATGCACACGTAAATACAAGGCAAGTGCGAACGGAATAGTGATTCTTTTTATTTAATAAATCCGGTACGAGAAGGTCCTTCTAGTTCTTTTCATGTCAAAGAGTTTGTATCGTAGTGAAATATAGCAAAGGGCAAAAAAATGTATCAAGAATTGCAAAATATAGCGTTACCAAACAAATATGCAGCAGTTATCTCCCTTTTTATGTTGTCGATGTTTAAACGAAACATGTGTATGTACGTTTCCATTTTAGGTTTAGGTTCAGCAAGGCCCCTAAATGATGGTTTGACCACGCAACATTTAAACTCCTTTATGAGTCATATAAAATATTAAAAATCAGACATGTAAATCAGATATATTTAACATGTGCATTAGCAAGTAAAATGATACACATTCATTCATTCATATTGATTTTAATATTCATTCATTTATTCATTCATCTGGATACGACGCTCCGGCTAATTGCAGGTTATCTACTTCAAATTTTTAATACCGAACTTTCAACAAAACCATTTTTTTCGAACTCAAACTCGATGAAACAAGGGCAAGAGTTACTATTAAAAATATAAATAAGTAAATTAAGACCAGAATTCACGGTAATCCTGGTAATATCACTTCCTGCTAGCTAGACCCGTTATATAACGTAGTGACGACGCCAGGCACACACATGAACACAACCAAATCATCTACCTTCATAGCACACAACACACAGCCTAGTTTTCAATGAGATCACTATCGTGACAATTAAACTGATCAATAGTCCTTATCTCATATGCATGTTTTTAAACCCTGTGTTGTAAGGTTTCCGTCAGCAGTAAACATTTACATTGCATCATAGTGATCGTGACATTCGAAGCAGTTTTAAAATAAGAAACTGTGACATGAAGACAACGTTTGTTGAGAAAGCAAAAAATGTTTCTATCAGAAAAAGAATGCTTTAGGCTAGAACCATCGGAACAGGATCGCGTACAGACAGCTTTGCAGTAAGCTCTTCCCGTTTGACTTGTTTTAAGTAAAGGTCAAAGTGAGCTGATGAATGAATGAGCTATATTTCATTTTGGCCTTTGTTGCGATTTTTTTCACAATACGCCCTCAAAATTGTTTAAAACCGTAACATTATATTTCTGTTTGTCTGGTTATCTTGTATTTAGTTTTTAATACTATTNGGGGGTGGGGTATTTTTTAAGACCTCTTGACTATAGATCTAGAGTTGCATACGTTATCAAGAAATAAGTATCAAGCAGTTATCTCCCTTTTCATAATACATATTGATATTTTAGGCCTGAAGTAGTACCATTTCAAATTACCTTAAATCATACGTAAGATGAAAAAGATACAAACACATGTGATACCATCTTTAGGGTGTGGTCATCGATACGAAGCCATGTAACATATGATTTTAATCAGATTGCAGTATGCCAACAATGAAGTACACTGGCACTGCATCAAACAGCTGTGTCGGTTTAGTATGTCCCATCGGTGATACTAGTGCTCACCTCTTTATACAGCGGGGCAGGAGCGTAAAACCCATTAATAAGAGCAAAGCGGGGACTGAGTTACTTTGCGAAATGAATGTTCTTTGTCAAAACCAGCTCTACCGCCTTACTTAGTTTACAGCTAATACGATATATTTAGCAGAGGAAAATCGGTTTTGAACAATGCGAATGTAAAATTTTATATTTTTTTTATCTATATTTCATAAAAATATTCCTATACGGGTATTATGGCTTTGTACTCATATTTTTTCAAATAAAATTACACAGTCCTATATATTGAGTTAAAAAGTGATAAATTGATTGTACATTATTTTTTACAATGAATTAATTTAATGCCGTTCATTGCAAAACATGTATTGCGTTTTAGCTGGACGTCTTATGCAGACACTTTCCGTAAAAACATCTTACAGAATAGCTAAACCGCTGGCACAAAATATGTTATTGGTTGAAGAGCTTTCCTGACCCAAAAAAAGGCCTAAGGACCTATTTACATGTCTGTCTTAAAAAGCGAAAAACAAACTTTATTGCAATTTTCCGAAGAAATGATGGTAAGATATCATTTTGTTAACAGTTTAACTCTTATCATTTGCGGGGTATTGGCTACAGCGTTACCTTGCAGAGATATGATCCAAAATTGAAAAAAAATATCTAAAATATCGATAAATACCATATTATTCGAGGTTAATATATAGCGGTTGTTGTTCTTTGTGCCATTTTTAATTCTTACGAATATTTGCGAAAACTAATAATCCCCAAAACTAGAAACCTTTAAAAGTCTATCTTATACCCTTTGGACAATACTATTTTGTTTTCACAGGGACTAATACAATCGGAGGGAGCTTGGCTGAAAGAATACGGTAACGTGATAGGGTAAGTGACTGTATTGTAAATGGTTTTATTGGGGACATATTTTATGTTTATTGCTGTAAGGAAGTGGCGCTCATAGGCTTTGAACTAAACAATAAATATTCTGAACTGAAAAACATATTTTATTGAAAGCATATTCTATTACCTGAGTGTAACATCTCAATGTGATGCTATTGTGATCGGTGGTAAGGGGGGTAATACTTAAAGGCTACCGTTTTCTTTCCGTTATCATAGAGTGTGTAATTTGAATATACATATATTAGATATATTTCTCATTTTGATAATTAATTATGTCCTGTGCTATGAAATTGGCATTGATATGTTAAGATAAGGAAAACAGATAAAATATTGGTTAAGGTGGCTCCACACTTTCTCAATTAACCAGCAAAATTCGTTGAAACTTTCATATAATGGTTATGCAACTATGTAGAGTTGATTTTATGAAAATCTAAACACTCCGATAGTTTGGGGACTTTTTTGGAAAAAATACCAAAAAATAGAATTTTCGTCAATTTTAATATTTTCCGGGTTTTTGGTTGTGTGTAGCATTGTTCGGAACAATAGCAACAAAAATAAAATGAAAAGAAGCATTTCTAATTAACCCTACAAATATTTTATTTATCGCAAAATATGTAACATATGTTACACAAAGTGTTTTTTATTGAATTTGTACGTATAAAAGTGATTATCTACAAGCTAAAAGCACCCAGGACACAAAGATCTATACATATAGAATGGGAAATTGAACAAAATATACACAACATTATTTTCACAGAGTAAGCTAGTAGACTACATTTGTGAACACGATTTAATCGACAGAGCGAAACTCCCTCAACAGCGAAAATCGTAACGACCTCGGGCTTGTGAACGCGTGTAAACACGCGATATGCACATGTGAGGTTGGTACGTCCGTATCCATGTGTTTCCTATATGACCTTCTTGAGGTCGTCTGGTCTCATGTCACTGTCTTTCCGTGAGTCTGTTTATGTCTATGAATCAATACTACGATATTGAATGCCCGATACGCAATACGGAAATGACGACACGGTGTACATGCACATTTCGATCAAGATAATTGAGTCCTAGCTGTACTTTTTCCGGAAGTACGTCACGAAAATGGACGCTGATGACGATGTGTGGAGCCACCTTAAAGCATCATTTAGAAGGGAAAGATTTTGTATAAATGTATGTTGAGTATGTGAAGAAAACCATGCACCTCATCAATACATATGTACAGATGTATAGCCATTCCTTCTGATTCCTACTAATCTGACTATTTCTTGTAACCTTAATAGTCACAACAAACTCTTTTGGTAGTGCTATGGATCATACTATAAACGTTTTATTCATTATTAATTTAGATTAACAAGTACTGATATTATTTTTAAATGTCGTATAATAAATCGGTCATGCAGCCCTCCTCCTCCTATTTCTTTAGTAGTTAAGACCAATTCGGATCTATATTACATCACCGATGTAATTCATTTTAAGCATAATATGTCCACCAACAAATGTTAAAGGTGTAATCACACGTGTGTGTCTTTTGTTTAACTTTCTATATTTACATTTCTACTGTAAGTTCTTCTATCAGCATTACGTGAAAAATTGCTTTCATAGGGCTATGGACACTACTTGATCAGCGTCATTTTGAAGCTTCTCCTTCCGCTTCGAGTAACAAGCATTTTATGAAGTTAGTCTTTTCCATGAATCGCGTTTGCACTGACGACACAGATACTTCAATATCGAAAATATAAGGGAGAACATATATGTAGATCAATATAACTATAAAATTTAGAATGCTAACATAATGATTGTATAGCATTTTTAAATGTTCATGGCGTGATGAACGCAGATCGGTTACATGGTATGTAACAGATTTGCGTTCATACCGGCATGAATATATACATTGTAGGTTTCATCACGTATAGTCTGAGACTTTTTAAATATTATTAAATTTTAATGACAATTTCGTAGCTTGACGTATCGTTATATTGTCTTTTCTTCGATTTTGTGTTGTGGAAAAAACAAATTATCTCAATCAAATTGATTTATTATGTTTTTGCCGTTTTTTGAGAGTTAATGGCAGCCTACCGCATTACGTCCCTTTATAGTTGGCCGCTAATAAACATTGGCGCTGTCTGTCAACGGTAGTTCCGGTTTGAGCTCGTAAGCACCGTTCCAATGTAAACAATCCGAATATTGCGTGACTATTAACGTCTATGTTTAATCATCATGTAGGAGTTTGTGTGTAAATGGTTAAATGTGTTGTGTTGCATATGTTCGCTTTGTATTAGCAGACATGTAATCGTTTTGATACATTTGTCAACATTTTTCTCGAGGGAATCCCTGCTGTACTGTACAGTAACCACACCACAGGGGTTCGTTATAAATGTCTGAAATACACATGTACATATTTTATGCTGTACTGATATGGGTCATAGCATACATAAACTTTGTGTTGTTATCCATATCAGTAGCATATGTGTATTTCAGACATTTGTAACGAACCCCTTTGCAATAAGTTAACTTCTAAACACCGACTT